AGCCCACTGAGTCATCCAACTGATGTTTGTCTTCAGAGCCATGCTTAGCCTGGGGTTGGCGTGAGCAGGTTTGGTTTTGAGCCAAGAGAAAGCTTCCAACGTCCTTGCTGGTGTTTGCACGGCTTCCGTTTTTCTCTTCCGCTTCTGGTCCACCGTCGTTCCTGTCCGGTTTGCCGGCGGTTGATTCCGGTTGGATTTCTGGACCGGTTGCAGGTAGCCGGTCAGTCTGTAGCTGCCGGTTTCCGTCCGGTCCGAACACGGCCGGCTACCTGACTCGCTGGATGGTTTTTCGCCAACGGACAAAAGAGGAAGTGTGACTGCTGCTGCTGTTTCGGTCCACTGCTGTCTTACTTAACGCGGTAGGAAACGGAAGCCTTAACCGGTAACCGAACTAACCATTTCGTCTCAGACTTTCAAAGATGCCAGGTTTTTTTTTCCTCGCCAACCGGGCAGATGGTACGCAGCTCTTGGAGAGACGCTGTCGCGTTCGCCGCCTGGTTTCTGGTAGGGTGCGTCTTCCTCGGGTTGGTCAGTACCTGCACGCTCGTTTCTTGGCAAAGCCAGAAGAGTGGCCAGAACTTTTCCTTACCGAAAGGGGTGTTTGCTATCACGTGAAGCGTGATTGTCCTAGCATTCGCCATACTACTCCATTTAGCCGCATTGTTTGCAGTTTCTCAGCCTTCCAAGCTTCAAACCGTGAAGAAGGGGCGCCCAGAGGGGGTGTAAACAGTTATCCCTGTCTGAGGGATAAAGGTGGGCGTCCGGCTCAACTCTTTTAAGTTTGTGGAAACCGGCACAGGTTACAGCTAGTTTCCTTCCACTTGGAGTGTGAGGGGGCACTTTTCACTTTAGAGCTGTAGTCTCTGTAGGTTCCTTCTCTTTCGCACGTTTTAGAGGAGTCTGGTTGTGCCTCAGGGGCGTTTTGCCTTAGGGGAAGTGTTTAGAGCTCCAAACCACCTGTCGGTAGTTTGCGCCTTTAGTTTGCTGCAGGACTTTGTGCCTGCGTTGGCTCAATGCCGGAACTGCGTGGCCGAGTGAGGTAAAACGAAGACTCTGTCCGAGTGTTGTGCTTGGTTGCTTTGCTGGGGCTTGGTTGTAGTTCCGTCTTTTTCGGTTTGGGGACCCTGACAGTTCATCTTAAGCGCAGCAAAAACGATTGCGCATCTAACAAGAGCCCAAAGCCAGACCCACCTGTCCGAAAAGTGGGGACCAGTGTTGCACAGATTGGCTCCACATTTTAAAGTGTTGAATGTGTAATAAGAAAACCCATTCGGCCCGCTTCCCAGTTCTTCTTGGTTGCCTTGGCCTTTTGTGCCTGACCCTGGACACGTCCAATCGCTGGACGGCCGCAAACTCAACGAAACGCTGCTGAAGCAAACTCTGAAGTGCTTTCTATTCTGGGTCCGGAAATTGTCAGGATTTCAGTGACTGCTGTCAGGTTCGGTCGTCGTGTCGTGAGCACCCTTGTCCGCTCTTCCGCTTCCGTTTCCTGAATTCCTCTCCAACACCACAAGACATGGAAAAGAGACTTCTTGCAGAATCTGAGTTGAGATAGGGTTGGGAAGAGCCACGGTAATGGCCCACGTTTTCGGTTCTGTCTTTTGTGTGAGGTGAGCGTCTTCTGCACAGTCAGCTTCCCTCATAAGGCGGGATGCCATCGAATCTGTAGAAGCTTGGAATCATCTGCCAGGTTTGCTGCGCTGGCCACACGCTCAAACTAGCATTTAATGTCAAGTCATTCTTCAGTCTCACTCAACTTTGGAAAGAGCCCTCGAACGATTGGTGCCTTGGGGGAAGACTTGATTAGAGCAGCAACCGTTGCCTCAGTAAACAAGTGAAAGGTATGTTTCCTCATGACCTACTGGTGCCAGATGGGTTGTGTAGATTTCCTGTTTTTTGCAGCAGTTCTGGCAAGCTACATGTAGGTGTGCTTTCCAGAATCTCAGGTGAATCTCACGCGGATGCCTTTGACTTTGCCGGAGTGTCACTTCCGGGATAAAGCTCGGACTTGTTGGAAGACTTGAGACCATCGGATGCCCCATGTCTGAAAACAATTAATGCGCGCTCTCTGAATGCAGCATTTCTGGATTGAACTATATTCCATATGTTGCTTCTCGATATTCGTTGTTTGTCTTATATGATTGCAAGTAGAGAAAGCATGCATGAGATAAGGAAACACTTTCATCGAAGATGAAATGTGACTTTATCTCAAAATGTTTTCATTGGAAATTTCTAACTTCCACTACTTGCATGTCTGTGCGAAGTCTTTAACGAGCAGCATTTGGCTCATGCTGGAGCAGAAAACAAAGTTTTTTTTCTCACTTGCCCAGCCCTGGGGGGAGCCGACTGTGCATCATGCGGATGCCGTTGACCTTGCCGGAAAATCACTTGCGGGATGACATGCAGGGTGTTTCTTGAAGGACGTTTCAGCTCGGACTTGTTGGAAGACTTGAGACTGTCGGATGCCCCATGTCTGAAAACAATGCGCTTTCTGAATGCAGCATGTCTGGATTGAATTATATTCCATATGTTGCTTCTCGATATTCGTTGTTTTTTATATGATTGCAAGTAGAGAAAGCATGCATGAGACAAGGAAACACTTTCATCGAAGATGAAATGTGACTTTATCTCAAAATGTTTTCATTGGAAAAATTCTAACTTCCACTACTCGCATGTCTGTGCGAACTCTTTAACGAGCAGCATTTGGCTCATGTTGGAGCAGAAAACAAAGTTTTCTTTTTCTCACTTGCCCAGCCCTGGGGGGAGCCGACTGTGCATCATGCGGATGCCGTTGACCTTGCCGGAAAATCACTTGCGGGATAACATGCAGGGTGTTTCTTGAAGGACGTTTCAGGTCGGACTTGTTGGAAGACTTGAGACTGTCGGATGCCCCATGTCTGAAAACAATGTGCGCTTTCTGAATACAACATTTCTGGATTGAATTATATGCCATATGTTGCTTCAATTCTTCCCGAAAATCGTTGTTTTTCTTATATGAGTGCAAGTAGAGAAATCATGCATGAGATAAAACAGCATTGTAACAAATATCACGTACTTTTGCAGATGCCGGTGTCACAAGCACGAGGAGCTCTCACGTTCACATTCACGGTCTTCCGGACTTCTGCCCTTGCGTTTGTCGCTCCATCTCGTGGGATTTGCCGATGGCCGCTCTGTCTGCTGTCTAGTTGTTCCATGATGCCGACTTGCGCAGACACCCAATAGTCCGCAGCTCTGACATGATCGAGAGCTTGAGAATCGAGGATTGGAACCAATGAAGCGTCGAGCGGCGTGTTCTTTTTGAAGTTCGAAAAATGTCTTGCAAAACTCGTAAGAACAAGTGTCGCGTGTTGATTATGTTTTGGTTTGCTTTTCGCAGACAGCAGACAAAAACCACAGTTTTGAGGTCAGAAAAAAGCCGAACCCAGAAGTGTCCTGGAGGAGCGATGCGTAAATGTTCGCAAGTCCGGACCTTCCACTAAGAGCAAGCCGGACACAGGAATGACAAGGAGTGTAAACTCAGGTTGTGCCTTGATGGATATTTCCGCAACCTTTCTTGCAGGAGCCACGACAACTGTTCAAGGGTCGTACCGAAGCCTGCTTGGCTGTAACGAGGAAATATTTGCACATTTGATGTCGGCGCGAGGATGTTGACGCTGTCAGAGGCGTCTGAGAAAGCTTCGCCAAAGAGGACGCTAAAAGTGGGGCCTGAAGCCTTCCCAGCCAATGATGATTGACAACACTTTCCGTCGTTGCGTGATAAAGCGTAATCTCCAAACCCCTTCCAACTCCTGAGACATTTTCTAGATTTCCAATTTTCCTGAACTGGGCCCTTGCCAATCTATTCTATAAACGTGTTTCGTTTTGTACTCGAATGCACTATTGTACACTGAAGTATTTACTACAATACTCACCAGGAGCCCACGGTTCTTGGGTCTAGACAGGAGAATTACAATGTGCAAAGACTGTAACAAGGGTTACAAGCTTTCGGCACAGTGGTTGCGAGTACGCTCAATGGCGTGGAAAACCAAAGCTTGAATCAGTAGCCACGCCACCTATGTCTCCATGCATGTAGTAATTACCAGCAGTACTCTTCCAGGTTCACGGGCTTTGCATGGGTGTTCGTGTGCTCACAGGCAACACACAAGTGCTGGCTTTGCCTTGCGGCCTCGGCTTTCAGCTGCTCAAAGCTTGATTCCTGTTCCCTCCGCCTGGAAGTCTCGACGTCGACTCCAGATCAGAAGCCTCGTGGATGGAGCAGTGTGGCTGTCGCTGTAGTATCGGGTTCAACTTCTGGTGTGTTCAGCGTCCTCAGGCGGATCGTTCCGCATGTCCAGAGCTTGTGTTTGGAATCCGCAGCATCGAGGATTCGGCCGCAAGACTCAGGTCATGCTTGGCCGCCTCGTTCCGTTTGCAGTGATCGCACTGTGCGATGCATACAAGCGCGAAGCGACTTCTCTCACGGGGCAGGCGCCGAGAGTTGTGCGAGTTGGCACGTTTTAGCATGTGCTTTGTCCGAAACTATGGCGACAAACGCGACAGCGTTACGATAGTTGTCAAAAATTCTGAAGCTATCCGGTAAATACCTCGATCCCCTTGTCTGGCAGGAGTTTGCTGGGATGAACTTCAAGGACCGAGGGCTAGGGTCACCTGCGGCTCAGAGTTTCGAGTCTTCCTGGGGTCACTCCTCATAGACGTAATGTAGGCCTTTGGGCCCAGACCCAACCCGCAAGCACCGACTGAGGACAAAGCTGACTCATTGCGCCAGGTCCATGTGGGCATGTTGCTTCCGTGGAGGGACTGTCAGTGCAACTTGGAAGTTGAGGTGTAGTTGAGTTTGCGCCGTGAGGGTGAGGTGTTTGGGCATCTCGGTCATCAGTTTGACGATGCTGCCGGTCGGTCGTTTGTCGAAAAGCGCGCGCGCACGGAGCAACATCCGCAACGTCGGTCTACAGAGATATTGCATGATGGGAATTGCTTCCAAGAATCTGAATGTCAGGCGAGCCCTCGGTATGGCAAGCTCGAAATGATGGGAGAGTGTTGCAGCGCTCCAGGCATCTGGTCGGAGGTTGCGTTGTGCTTGTTACTTGGGCAGCTTGGGCAGCTTGGGTTGGTCTTGCGGTCGGGAGTTTGCCGGCTGTCAGGGCACCTGTCTACGAAGACTTCCCCCCACCTCAAGTGTCTCTGGTGGTACTCGCCGAGACAATCATGACGAGCATCGGGTTCATCAGTGTTTCCGTCAGATGGGGATGTCGGCCGTCCAAACTGGGATGCATATGCGAAGTTGTTTTCAGAGCGGGGATCCCGATGCTGAAACCTGGCCCCAGTCGTGCCGAAGCTGGCAGGTGAAGCGGAGCAGGTGGAGAACGACGTCAACACTAACTCGCGCTCAGATGGGCTCCTAGCAACCTTTGCCAGTTTTGTGTATGAGGTCCTGAACCCTTTCACGTCCAAGACAACAAACATGGTCATAGCCTACTATTTTGTAGGGTTTGGGGTCACAGGTAACGGGGATTATAAGTAGGGATCCGCGACATGATAAGCCTGCGTCATAGATGCCATGGCTCGCCGACCGAGGGTCTACGGCTCGAAGGCTGAGATCTCGGAGGAGGTTTTCAAGTACACTTCCTGCCGCAACATGGGGGAACACGAGAGATCCAGTCAGGCCAATCCTGCATGCTTCTTGGCTCGAATCACGACTTGGAGGTTCATGGGTAGTTATAAGTAGGGTTATGAGTCCCTTAATATGGGTTAGAATTATCGTTAGCTTACTTATAACTCCACTTATAACTACCCATGAACCTCCAAGTACCAGGAGCAGGAGTGCTTTCCTCCCAAGGTGCCAGCAAAGTACATAGATGTATGCCGAGGCTCCTATTTCATGGTCTTTGAGAACACTGCTCATGCTGACCACGGCTATGCCGCAAATTGCGTGCCTGCCCAAATGTGCATGGAGCTTCGGCAGCAGCAGCATAGGCAGCTGTAGGGTCGGTAAACGTCTTTGGGGTCCGCTTTGAAGGTTGAAGGGGTTGCGAAAGATTCGCCAAGGATGCCACGGAAGGATAGTTGTTCATGGAAGCTTGTAATAATGATGCCGAAGAAGTCGAGTGGAAGTCGAAAGCCCAAATAAGCCCGAAACTAGCCCAAAACTAGCCCTAAACCCAAGCAAGATCGGGTGAGCCAGTTTCAGACAGGTGCATCTCCATCAAGCTGTCAGCGGCCCGGGGTTACAAGTGCCGATGTCGAACATGAATCCACTAGCATGATATGCAACAGGTACTTAGCTCGGCGGAAGCTCCGCTGAAGCAAATGCGAATGCAAGAGACATTTTAAACAAAGTTAGGTTATTTCCACTGAAACGAGAAGATTGAACAGGCAACTACATCGACAGTGCGCGGGCTTTGATGCCCCGAACTCTTCGCAACACACCGCACACAAAGGGCCCTCGCTTCTGAAGCGATACCGGCGCTTCCGCCACCTTTCACCAGGACAACGTCGTGGGCATGACGCAGGGCAAGATCGCGACATACGGCGTCGTTGAGCGGATTTTGCAGCAGAACCTGGGAAGTGTGGCGCAGCCCGGCTCTTGTTAAGAGAGCCTTCGTTATGGTTCCTTGCGTGGATTCTTGCGGTGACCCAGGTATATCGGCAAAGGGCCCCTGGGCAAGTGCCTGGAAGGCATGACGAGGGTCAACGAAGGCGACCTCAAGGGCCTGCTCAAGGTGCGGCCTGCGGGCACCAATGGGCTGTCATGCATGAGGGCATGAGCGATGGCTGAACTGAGTGTGCAGCTTCGTGTTGGGATCAAGCAGAGCTTTTTCGGGGTGCCAGCTGAACATGAAGAGTGCCAAACGATGCAGCGAGACCGCCCCGGAGCTTCCTTGTTGTGTTGCAGTGAAAAACTCCGCCAGGGCATCCAGACCGTTCTGGGTGTCTAGGTGTCGAAACCCAAGTGCAGCCATCCCCGGCATCTTGAAAGCGTATCGGCACGGGAGGTCGCCTGCACAGGCCGCGCAGCACAAGCCAACAAGACACACCCAGTGCAAACTGCTATGGCCCACTTCCGTGGATTGCACGACCACGCTCGAGACCACAACAGGATCGGGAACACCGTTCTGCACAACATGGCTTGCGTCTCAGGAGGAGCGTGCCGTCAAGCTCGGCAGCATGAATATTATCGCAGACATTGCCACCGGAGGAAAGGCAGCTGCCACGAAGGAGACGCTGGCCAGCACGGTGATCGGATAACTAGAATTCTCTAGAATTCAATTTGGAAGTGTCAGAACAGGTGAGCCGAGATTTAGCTCCTCAAAGAAGCAGGAAGAAGGCTGAAGGCAGGCGTGGTTTTATCGCAACTTTCAGTCTCGAGTACAGCCCGAATTCCGTGACAGTGATGCAATTCAGAGACAGTCGCATTTGCCATGCCTCCTGTTGCCGAGGGCTCTCACCTTCGACGGAATGGCACCGTTGCTGCAGTGTTGAATGAGTGTTGATTAGACCGGAAAAAGAGGAAGAGAGGGGTGGACGGAATTCCCAAGCAGCTCAAAAAGCCTGTAGAGCAGTGTGCTGCTCGTGCCCATGTGCAGCATGTGCAAGCTCAGGAGAAAATCCCAGCCGTGAAGTCCTTCAACAAATGCGTTAACGATGCCAGCGTGGGCTACCTCTTCGTGTTCAAGCTTCTTGGATGACATCGATTTCCAGGCGTAAGTAACTCCAAGCGCCGTGGCACAAACTCAGTTTGCAGACTGCCCGTGCCCAGGAACGAATACTGGAGCGGTGGCAAGAGCGACGTGGACCTCGGGGCCTTCTCGAAGTATAAGGAGCCCGTGACATCCCGTGGTTTTTGCGTCGCAAACTTTGCGACCTTTTCAGGACGAGCAGACGAAGATCAAGCAGCAGAAGAAGAAGGCGGCCGAAGAGGCACAGGCGGCCGCGGCGAAGGCCGAGCCCAAGCCAGTGCCAGAGCTTTGGGGTTGACGTGCGGGTGAGCCGCACCTGAGGTGTCCCAGCGCCGTCTCTCTGAGCAGGAAGTGCTTGTATGAGCAAGTGCAGAATTTGCACATTTGTCCTTGCGAAATGGGGCGCCAGTGCTCGAAGCAACACTGGTGCTGAGCGGAAGCAAAAGCTTCTGACCCTTGCCCCCGCTACGATGCTACCCCGGGCTCACCACTCGATCTTGGACGCAAGTTGCCGGCCAGAGCACTTTAGGCTTAAGAGCGTCTTCAACTACAACTCGGGTCAGAGACTGTGTCCTCTCTCTGCACTGCGAACGACACCCATCGCAGGCTCACGCTATGTGAGTGGCTTGTGTGAATGGCTTGTGAGCGTGCCGTTTCTTTCGGCGTCTCTTTGAAAGACGCCTTGCATTCTGTGTCTCGCATGCCTCTATTGCAATGCGATGGAAAATTGGAGAGAAGCTTAGCAGGGTGAGAAGAAGGACGAAAGGAAAGTAGGAGGGCGGATGGACAGCAGCGATGGAGAAACCGCAGGCATTGCCCCAATGCAAGAGCACAAGCTTGCGGGGAAGGCAATAATCGCAACATCAAATGCAACAGCAAAGACCGTAATGGAAATCCAAAGCGAGACTCTTAGAATGCCAAAGCTTCGTCCTTCACAGTACCAGTCAAGAATGGAGATAGCAAGCATAAGAAGTCATGCGCAAGGCACGCTGTTCAACAACAAGTAGTACAAAGCACGACAAGAGCCTTTGACCGCACGCAACAAAGGCACTACGGCACGAGAAAAGCTGAGTGGCACATGGGTGGCAGTAAGCTGCACTGCTCAAGTAGAAGGGTTAAGCACACTCACCAGGTACCTGTTTACCGGGGCCCGGCAGGCCAGAGACGGCCCTCATATCGTTGCATTCAGTCTTATCCAGAGAGCCCAATACCCCTTAATCAAGAAATATACCTTAAACTATAGGGGCCTCAATATGATTTAAGGAATATTCCTTAATTAAGGGGTATTGGGCTCTCTGGGTAAACCGTTGAAATGAATTTCGTTGTACTTGGCTCACACACACACACAGGCCCACTGACCCCCTCACCACAGCTCCAACTTTGCACAAGATGACATGCGATCGAGACGGAAAGTCTGGCGAGGAAGACGGGTGGATGGGCTTGCTATCCTGGCACGCAAGGGTTCTATTGCCCGAACGCCATACTCAGGGGTATCTATCAAGACGTGCAGTTCCCATAATCAGGAGATCACGCAGTGTCGCGCGATGCATCGCAATGCCTTAAATCTTCGAGCCACTCCAGCCCCAAACGACTTCTTCAGTCAACACAGGCCCCTTGACTAGGATCCTCGTTTTGTCCTTTGATACTAGCGGGCTGTGGGTGTGAAAGCCCCAGGATGCGGGTGCTAGGGCGCAAGTCTTCATGTGCTTGGAATCACGGCTCAAGATCTGCTACAGTCTGACGAGACGAGAGGAAGTGCCGTGGATGAATAGACGACCCTAAACCCTCAACCCTAAACCCTAAACGACCGTAGGGTTTAGCCTAGTTCGTGCTGGCTCATGCGTTTAGGGATGTTTGGGGTTCCGGCGGTTCAGAAGCCATCTGGTAGCTTCAGGTCAAGACTAATTTGGACCAGACCCTTGCCTAAACCCAAAACCCAAAACCCTAAACCCACAACCCTAAACCGTAAACCCAAAGTCCTTAACCCTAAACCCAAAACCCTAAACCCAAAACCCTCGACCCTGAACCCTAAACCCTAAACCCTAAACCCTAAACTCTGAACCCTAAACCCACACTGCAAGGGACCCGAAGCCGCAGGCTCTCTCTTCGAGTAGACGTTGAGGCCCCCGAGAGCCTCTGCGTAGCAGTGGGTGGGCTTGGCCGCAAACCCTGAACCTCGGTGTTAGGGTTTAGGGTTAGGGGCGAACCCTTCTAAGGGCTTTAGGAGGGACAATTAGTAGGGACCCTTGCAGGTTCTTGGGGTTAATATGGTTCCTATGAGGGATCCCTCCTAAAGTCCTTAGAACCCTGAACCTCGGAGTTGGGGTTGGAGGCCTGATCCCAAAACACTAGACGTCGTTGGGCTGTTGTTGGTGTTGTTGCTGCTGCTTTTGTGGTGTCGTTCGTTCCACGGCTGCAGCAACAGGCAGTGGTAGCCGTCTTGGTTTTGTCCTCACGTCCTGTCCCGTTCCACGTTGTGTGTGGCTGAGGCCATGCTCGCCGGCCTCATCTGCTTGGCACTTGTGGTGCAGGGTCATGCCTGGGCGCGCATTTCGGTGACGGTCGGCGGGGAGGCGCCTGCCGGCCGGCTGGAAAGTTTCACGAGATCCAGTTAGGCCTTAAATTAAAGCTGTTTCGACTCTTTTGGTACACTCCCCTTGTTGTTGCAAGGCGCTTTATGTTGCCCAGCTTCTAGGGTTCAGCGAACGTCACTACTTGTCTCAAGGGTCTGAGATGGGTTAGCTTCCTTTTGGGACGGCTGAAGCCGAACCTTCAAAAGAGAGAGGCTGGCGGCATGTTCGGAGCCTCTTTGTCTTTGAACTCTACCCATTCCAAGCCTCTTCCTGGCAGGAACTGTCGGATAAGAGCATCCAGGACCAAGCCGCAGCCGAGCAATTGTTTGGGGAGCTCCTGCCGCTGCCGTCGTCTCTACCTGCCTACCTACCTGCTTGCCTGCCTACCTACGGCACTTACCTGCCGACCTACTTACCTGCCTACTTACCTACCTACCTACCTACCTACTTACCTGCATGCCTTCTCCGCCCAGCGTCGCCATCGCCAACGGGCCTGCCACCGCCATCGCCACCGCCATGACAGCCAGTATCATCAGAGCGTATGGGTGCCAGGATGTCGGAAACCTGAAGGACCACCGGAGCTTGATGAAGCCACCTGTCACGCCGCAAGAGCAGAGAAAACTGCATCGACCTCTTATATAAACAAGAATACCGAACCAGGGGCTCAACCTCAAATGCTGATCCAGAAACTTCAGACTCGGGTCGCAAACCAGCAAGCTCCAACCCTCGCCTGGAAAGAGGACAAGGAGAAGGAGCTTGCCAAGGTCCATCATTTCCCGTATTGCTTCGTTTTGGTTTGGGTTCCGCTCTGGCAACATTTTTTTTAACGGTTGTGTGAGGAGTAATTTCGAACTGCTTTGGCACTGTCGGGATGGGTTCGTCACCGCTTGCCAGGATGTCCGGGTGAAGCTATACTGGCCTTTACTGGCAGATCGTTTTCTCCTGTCTCAGCGGAACGCCTGAGTTGCACCTTCAACGTATGATAATGGTATCAGAGTATTAACATTGTCCTTCGCTGCCCCCTGTCGCGATCGTCGTTGCGGCTGTGTTCGCGTAATTTCACCTAGTGTTGTTGCATTGGCTTCTGATGCCGCTGCATGTGGTTTGGCTGATGATGTCGTTGTAGATTTCGCATGCTGCAAACATGGTGTTGTTGGTGATGATGGCAATTGCTTCTCGGCTGCTGATCACAGACCCTAAACCCTAAACCCTAAACCCTAAACCCCAAACCCTAAACCCTAAACCCTAAACCCAGACCCAGCGATGGTGAGCAATCTGTTAGGCTTTCAAGCGAGGCCACCTTCGCGTGCCTCTACTTGGAGGTTCATGGGTAGTTATAAGTAGCCCTACTTATAACCCCACTGATAACTACCCATGAACCTCCAAGTAGGTTACTTTGCCCAAAACATCCCGAAACCCTAGTTGATGTGCTGTGCGTCCTTGTGTGATGGTGCTCGCTAGATACCCCTTGATGCCCCCGAGAAACCCGCCCAAAACCCTAAAACCGGTTCCAGACGGTTTCCAGAGGGTTTCAGAGGGTTTCTAGGAAGCCCTAAACCCTAAACCCTAAACCCTAAACCCTAAACCCTAAACCCTACCTTCCGAAACCGAAGCGAAAGGTCTCCTCCCGAGCCAGGCAAACCCACACTTCGGAAAGCTTGACACCATCGGCGAGTGCTGCGGCGACCAGAAAAGCCACGTGGGAGCACAAAGTCGGGCTGCTACAAGTGTACATACCGTGTAACTTGTTGACTTAGAGCATGCTTGTTGAGCATGTTCGATGGTACATAGTAACATGCTACAGGTTGATGTCGCATGGTGTTGAACCCCTCAAGTGATTGGCCCACTTTCAGACGTGGATGGGGACGACGTGTGCCCCATAGATGCGTAGCTAGTTGAAGGAATTTTCAACAGTTCAGCAGAGATGCGCAAAGCAGTGGAAAGATCGTTCGAACAGCCCTAAAATCGCAGTCGAACACCATGAAAGTGTGGGCGGTTCTGCGGTTCTGCCGGCCAGACGAATGGAAGTCCCTTTTCAAGCATCCCGCAGGCTGTGCAGTTGTACTATGTTGCACAGCAGTAGGACCTGCTACGAGCATATGAGTCTCGTTCCTTTTTCGCATCAACTTCCCCCACTTCATCGACCCTAAGCGTTCGACACCAAGAAATCAACTGCAACCTACTTCATTTGGCTTGGCTTGTTTTCTTTATAAATGTTTGAGAGGTTTTAGCAGATTTCCCTGTGTTCGGGGTCCTGTATTTATTGCCTTTATCACGGATTTCAAGGGCTTTCACAGGGTTTTTCAAGGTTTTCATAAGTATTCCTCAGGCATTGAAAGCTTCGCAGTTGTATCTTCTGCAACTCGGGGTTGTGCCTTCGCTTGCTTGTCCGTGCTGAATCTGAGCTTCAAACTCAGCGCAAGATTTTGCCAGGAACGCAGATTTATCCAAAGCCCCAAACCTGAACCCCCCAAAACAAACATACATCCGGAGCCCTGAACACGAAACCCTACAGTGGAACCGCCAAAGACACGCATGCTTCAAATCCTAAGCCCCTTCTCTAAACCCTGGGCCCTTAGCCCTTCGAGAGACGATCTCAGTGTATCAATAAAAGCAGGGCTCCCGACAACGACGACGACTACTGCCACGTCGGTACTGCGACAACGTTTACCATTCTCTATTATCATCATTATTGTTGCTGCTTTTGCCCTGCAGACGGGGCCCTTGCTTTGTCCTTGTTGGGATGCCCCAGGCGAGGCGGATGTGGTGCGCAATGCGATCAATACGAACGAGTTTCCTGTCTTTGGGTTTAGAGGGTTCAGGTTGAGGTTATGGATTTGCTCAATGCTATGTCTTCCGCAGACTCCTGGCACTTCTTGCTCCGAGTGGACGTGTCTTTGCGTTGTATATTCACCGTTTGCATGCGAAGCCCCTTGTGCCAAGTGTCTACGGCTCCAGTGGCGAAGTCCAGAAGGACATCTTCTCGAGGACGTCGTGCCGCCACATCACCGACGCGGCGGGAGCCTTGGGGAACGCGGACTGCTCCTACGTCTACATCTTCGAGAACGACCTCCACGCCGATCACGAGTTTGCCGCCAACTGCGTTCCCTCCACCATCTGCAAGGACTTGGCTCTTTAACGGATCCCTTAGAGGAACCCTTAAGGGATTTCTTAGAGGAACCCTTAAGGGATCCCTTAAAGGATCCCTTAAGGATCACTGCGAGTCAGAACGAGGCCTCCAGGCATCATAAACTGCACATCCGAGGCCTCCGCGCATCGGAAACAGCGCTGCAGAAAACAGCGGACATCGGAAAAAGCGCATCGGAAACCGGCACCCGTTGGAATCTGCGCATCGGAAAGCACGCATCGGAAACCGACGCACATCGGAAATCATCGGAAGCCGGCGAGCATCGGAGTCTGAGAAGTGCAAACCGATGATAGATGATGTCCAGAAGCAAGAGCATCCATGCCCAAGATGACAACGTCCACGAATCAACCCGTTCTGGGTTTCTCCGAATCAACCGGTCTTGGTTTCCGAATCAGTCTTGTGCTGAACCGACTTCGTCGTCTTGCTCGCAGCTGCGCAGCTGCCCGGCGTGGAAGACCGAAGCCATAGACCCTACGCCCGAACCGAAACCGCCAAGCATGCAACCTTAAAGCTGTGGCTTCAGCGGTTTCAGGAGGACGTGGTGGGCATGACCGAGGGAAAGGTGGCCACGTACGGGGTCGTCATGCAGATCTTGCAGCAGAACCTCGGGAAGTTGCAGGGCATCTGGAAGCTGGGACTCTTCTTCAGTCTACTTGGAGGTTCATGGGTAGTTATAAGCAGGGTTATAAGTCCCCTAATATGGGTTATAATTATAGTTACCCTACTTATAACCCCACTTATAACTACCCCATGAACCTCCAAGTAGGGCTCTAGGATTTCGGAACCCTAAACCACGGCCCCAATAGGCTTCGAAGCCTTGGAAGGGTGAGGACAAAGGCTGACAAAGGGGGGCTGCGACGGCTGAGGAGAGGATATTGTTCTCCGTATTTCCTCATTTCGGTCACAATAAACTAATAAACTACATGAATTAACCCTCAATCGCTGTAAGACCCTTACGAAACCTTTCCAATTCCCGTAAAACGCCCTCATGAAAAAAGATGTGATGCCCCTCTAAAGTACCTTCACTTGCGACACCCAGGAAGGGTCCCATGGACGCCTGCAGTGACGGCATGACCAGGGTCAATCGGGGCGACCTCAACGGCCTGTGGAAAGCCCCTCGGTAGAGAGATCTCATCCTCAGGGCTGCTAAGACCGAACTGCAAGTTTCATGAATGCCTGTAACATGACCTAGGTGCAGGCCTTACTATGGTTTTTGAGATTTTTTCAAGCTGGAAAGCGATGCTTGGGTGCAGCACCTTCACAGCGGTTGGGCCGGCTGAGACTAGAAACCTGAAAGCCCTACAGCCCTACGACTTGCGAAACCAGCTCCGAAAAACCCTCGAGCTGTAAACCATAAGCCTTAAACGCCCGTATAGCAACCAGTCAGAGACCCTCAGGAGGAGAGAATGGTGAAGCTCGGCGGCGAGCTGAACTTCATCTACTCTGCATTGACAGGCGGCAAGAGCGATGCCATGAAGAGGAGTCTCGCCTGCCTTGAGTCTTTCCTTTTCAAAGCGTTTTTCGGAGGGAGGCGTCTAAACGGGTGATGCTGGCGCTCCAGCGGCAAAGCAAATTCACGCAACGCTTGCTCTCCCGCGAAGTAAAAGCAAATCACAGGGCACTTCAAGGAATCATCCTTATTCAAAGGGGCTCTGGGGGCTCTAGGTTACAGTCCTCGGAGAGGTCCCCATGTACATCCACATACAGTGTTTTGCAGGACACCCTTGCCCTGGACCCTCAGACTCTCCCGCGCTCTCGGCACGTCCGAAATCGAGCATCCGTGGACCGAGCCGTCATAACGTCCATGGCCTAGTCCTTTCTAAGTTCAGAGCTTCCATGGCCTGAAGCGTATAGTAATGCCCATAGTCTAATGAGCCTAATCCGTTGTGAGTCAGTGAGTTCAGAGCATCCATGGCCCGAGTCCATGGTCTGATCCGTCTTGATGTCAGAGCATCCATGGCCCAACCATGATGAGGTGGGATGCGAGTCGCGAAATTTTTTTTTTGCAAACCAAGCATCCTACATGCATGGATGTCCAACACTGATCAAGGTCGTTTCGCAGTGTAAATCCCAACAAACTCGTGGTTGGCCAACATGAATACTTCAAGTAAGCAGCCGTAAGACGTGCGGTTGCAGCGTTTAGGGTTAGGCCTGCCCTCTCCAGCCCAAGGGCCATGACTGACATTCAGAATTTCGCGTACGGAAACCCTTCGTTCGCATTCTGGCTCAGGACCCTTGATTTCGATGGTATGGTGGCTTGGATGTACTGTTGGATTTCAGGGCTTCAGAGTCTGGCTTCATTGGTACGGTTGATGATATAAATCCTGCATTACCTTAATGGGAGTTTATGGTATATTCCTTATTATGGGTCATGCAGGATTTATATCATCAGCCGTGTTGGCATGCATGTGCGGTATGTCCCTGTGTATATGCTTGTCAATCTACAGGATGTTAGCACCTTCGTACTGCATACTTGGTACGCAATGCTTTCACAGAACCACAGTACCCAGATGGCACAGAACTTGTCAGTTTCTTTCACACATCATGTTCGCAAAGTTCGCTACTCTCATATTCTCATATTATGACAGCGTCCAGCTCTAGGCACAGTATCCTCCTGGAGGTCATCCAGATGGGATTCTCATTATTTTAAACTGTGTCAACCTTTTCATACACCTGGTACTTTCGCTTTCTGTCATCGTTTGTTTGAAATTTTAATCCCCTTGCACTGCTAAACCCTAAACCCTAAACCCTAAACCCTAAACTTTCAACACAAAGCGGCTCCGACCTGCAAGTGAAGACCAGGGAGCTGAATGCCTGTGTTCTCGTGCTCGACTTCAACTCCTGGCTTGGGGTGTAGACATCGATTCAGGGTCTGGGATTAGGGCCCCAAACCACGAACCCTAAACCCTAAACCCTAAACCCTAAAACCCTGAAGCCCTAAACCCTAAACCTTACACCCTAAACCCTCGGGTTCAGTTTTGCGAAACTACCCACGGATACACCAGAGCTGGACCGAAGCTCCTGGAAGAAAGGCCCTAAACCCTAAAGCCCCCTAGCCTACTTGCAGGTTCATGGCTAGTTATAAGTGGGGTCATAAGTAGGGTAACTGTAATTATAACCCAATATTGGGGGACTTATAACCCTACTTATAACTACCTATGAACCTCCAAGTACAAGCGGTGGTCGGGGTACAGAAACTGTGAGAAGGAGCCTCCTGGGTTTGCTCGGCATCGGGGAAATGTCGCAACCTCTGCATTGTAGCCTCATTTCATTATGCTGCAAGATAAGGCTTAGCTAGGGTTTAGGGGGTTTAGGGGATACCAGATCCTTCTGGACTCCATGTTCAGTGTGGCACCATCGATTCTATTTGTTTTTACTTAGGGGACCCACTCTAACTTTCCGAATTCCGAGACAGAACATAGTTCCTACACCCTAAACCGAGTGATTTCGTGAAGCCACCCTAAAGCCTCAACCCTCAACCCGAATCCCTAAACCCTTTCTTTCGGCGTGTTAGGGGTGGGCTTGCAGGCACCAGTTCCGGCCGTCAAGAGCTTCAATAAGTGCTCGAACGATCCCACTATCGGCTACCTCTTCGTGCACAGGAGCCTCCGAAGGAAGGGTTCGGGGTTTGGGGTTGCCAGGGTTTAGGGTTAGGGTTTTTGGAGCTTGAGTTTGGGCTGATGTACAGGGGGGTTTCGGTTAGGGGCGAACGGGGGTCAGTGTAGAAGGCTCTTCAGAAAAGGAGCCGCTCCGAAGTAGAATAGGGTTTGCAGGGTAGTCGTACCTGTAGTTGCATCGGGATGGGAAAGGAAAGGATCTTGCTAATGACCTCCTCTGTTATGGCTGAGTGTTGTCGGATTTTTGTGTTTGTGGCTCGCAGGTTTTCGAGTTGAGCTTGAAGGCACTTGGACATGCAAGCTGCTCTATTGATATTGTGCTGGTGCTTAGCTTACTGATCATCCTCTACCGGACTTGTTTGGCTACTTGAGCTTCTCAAGCCGACCAGTTTTGATCGAAGGGTTCGCGGGTTTCGGATGTCAGGCTCGTATTTCCGATGGCATAAGCACGGATTGTCAGGTTCCATTTGACTCAGCTGTTGGCGCTGAAGTGCATGCGCGTGAATATGTTTGGTAATTACGAGCGACAGACAAAACAGTGTAGACTGCGGAGCATGTCTCTCTTTTTCCAGGAGAGCAGGCTTAAACTCAGCTTGCCGACACTTGCTTGATGCCTCCCTCCTCCTCGGATATATATATATATATATATATGGTCACACCCCCCCCATGATCCAGCCCAGCCTT